GCACAGGGGCTCACAGGGATTTCAGGAGTTCTGGCCATGCTCTCTTTCTTGATCTTTGTAGTAGTTTGCTTTTATGACAATTTTTTTCTCTTCCTTCTCTTAAAAATTTTTTCTTTTAAAAAATATTTCTAAATAAAAAAATTTTTAATTGAAGTATAGTCAATTACAATATGCCCATTTCTGGTGTACAGCATAATGTCTCATAGGTACAGTCATGCATATATATATATACACATATATACATACATTCATTTTCATATTCTATTTTATTAAAGGTAATTACAAGGTATTGAATCTAGTTCCCTGTGCTACACAGAAGAAACTTGTTTTTTTAATCTATTTTTATATATAGTGGTTAACCTTTATAATTTGTTAGGCTGTATACTTATATTTTATGCTTTTTCTGTTATTTTGCCCTCAGTAAGAATGTTTTAGAACCTGAAGATAATATTAGGATCTATCTCAGGGTTAACTGTGATAATGAAATGAAACCATGTTGAGCTCTTAGAATATGCCTGGTACTTTGAAAGACCTTAATAAATGTTAGCTATCTACAATAAAAGTTTGCTGTTATGTTTTTCATATTTGTTGCCTATATTTCTCAGCTTGTTGTTTGTCTTTTATTTCTGTTAATGCTGTCTTTTGAGTTATTGGTCTTGAAGGAGGATTAATAAAATGGCCTCCCTTCGGCTAACGGATTGCTTATTATGTTTGCCCTTAAAACAGTCAGCTGACCTGACTGACCAGTTGCTACTCACAGTTCCAGGCCCATTGTTAAAACTAAAGCTATTGATCTTACTGTTTATACTTTATTCCAGGAATCGAAACCTATAATCATGCTTGGTCTCTGAGTCGATTTCCAGGGAGAAGGTCACAGAACTGTAACCTTACAAAGTAGGCTAAATACCAAAAAGACCACACCTTGAGTGCTTACGGGATAAAGAAAAAGTGACAACAGCTAGCCTCTATAGAATTGGTCGCCTGGAGGCATCATGATGCCCGTCTAAGTCTTCTGATGAGAAAATGATTCTGTTGATTGTTATCGATGTTTTATTGTTTGAGCTGTGACTGTATAACCACCCTGCCCCATCCCCAAGGTGGGTTCACAGTTTTGAAGGCACTAGCCTGCTGTGAGTCCCCTTTGCCCAGCAAAGTAATGAAGCTGTCTCTTTTTTTCTAAGCTCCAAGCCCCCGTCTATGAGTTATTTGGCTCGTCAGGGAAGGGGACCAATCTTTCGGCAACAGCCTTTCCTTTATAATTTCTTTCATCATTCTTAACCATAGAAAGTCTTCTCCAGTACAGAGATTTAATAAATATTTTATTTTCTTTGCAGTTTTAAAAGGAGTTGCTTTTGATCATTTGATTCTTTTTCTTCATTTCATAACAACATATTTAAAAATTAGTACACACTTGGATAAAATTTACATTTATTTCTCAAATTGACGGGGAATTCATATGTAATGTCATGGGAGAAAATAAACTGATCTTTTCTCCAATCAGGTAATGAAGTCCCCCCTAGCACCACTATTTAACAATTCATCTCTTCCCCACTGAATTCTGCTGCTTTCTCCTTTTGCATATGTTAAATTCACAAGCATTTGCACCTAAAGCATAGAAATGGAATGTGATAATGCAGCTGAAGGAGGGGGAGGGGATGGTTGCCAGGCAGCTGCAACCTGGAGGGACAGAAAATGTAGAAAAGCCTTTTTTCTGTCAAAGAAGTGTTCCTTAAAGATTCCATCCTTGTATGTGACACACAAGCCGCCTGCGCTTCTGACCCTCGACTAATCACTTCATGTGCGGAGACGTCAGTCTCCTCACGCGACACGTGCGGATAGCTACAGCACCTGCGTCACAGGGTGCGGGGCACAAGAGCTAACTGCAGTAAGGAGCACAAGCTTTGGAGTCAGTCGGCCAGGTGTCTCTTCCCTGGCTCCACCACTGACTAGCTTCATGACCCTATGTCGTTACCTAACTTTCCAACCTGTTTCCTCATCTGAATATGTGACAATTAATAGTAATGAAATTAATATTAATAGTAAATTAGAAATAGAAAGAGTAATAGCTATCTTCTGAGGTTGCTTCTGGGAATTAAAGAGCTATACTGGACTTTAAGGGCTTACTTAGCATGAGGGTGCCTGACGCATAATAAGCTTTCAATGAATCACATTTGTGGTGATTTTAATCTTTCTATCACTATTATGATGGAACAATGAGGAAGAGAAAAAAATTCAGGAAAGGAGACTAAGAACTAGGCACCAAAAAAGATCTCAGAGGGGGAAACTAAGAGACAGGGGTGTCATGGAAACCAAGGGAAGATCGTATCTAGAAGGAGGGAGATAATGCAAAGGAAGGTCATTCAAAGGCTAGTTTCTCCTGCAAAATACCCATTTCATCTCTTAGCGACTAATGAGACTGGAGGCAGAGAGGAAGGAAGAAAACCCATCACCTTCAATAAAGGCTATTAGATGCAAAAGTATCTAAAAGCATTCTTTCGCCTATTTCCCTCAATCTGATCTGAATTCCCAGGTCTCCCACGTCTTCCAAATAGGGAAAATACATATTTCCTGAATAAAGGAAAAGCCAGTCTCACACAAACTAAAATAAACTATCAGGTTCGCGTCATTTTGGTGAAATAAAAATCTAGACAATTTCAAGTTTATACAACAGAGCTGAGGCTGGGGAGGGAAGAAAAAGGGATGAATTACGGGTTTTCAAAGCAGTGGTCTGTGAACCCCCAAGCTAACTCCAGTGAAAAGGAGGGTGGTGTATTTAAGAGAAAAATTGAGAAAAGAGAGCAGAAAGAGGAATGGTATTCTTTGGAGTTTTTTGACGGGGAGGTAATTAGGTGTATATATATATATATATATATAATGGAGGTACTGCGGATTGAACCCGGGACCTCGTGCACACTAAGCACATGCTCTACCATTGAGCTATACTCTCCCCCCCAGGAATGATATTCTAAGATATTAATAATAAGAATGATAATCTAAGATAATGAATGATCCCCTCCAAGTGTAGATTTAGAGAAGGGTATAGTGGACTAAAGTATTATAAACCTACAAGAGTCAGGGAATGGGGGGCCTGAGTGGAGCTACCTCCTTCCTGGAGGGGAGAGATCCCCTGTGACTCTGGAGAGATAGAGGTGGCTGCCATGGGCCAGAAAGTGCCCCAGAGGGATGCCAGGAGTGGGCCTCACAAGCCTTTGCCCCTGGCCAGCTCTCAGCTGAAGGGTCCAAGGCAGAGGAGCCCTCCCAGCCGCCTTCTGGCCCTGAGGGTTAAGGAGGTGAGATTAAAAGCACCCGTGGACTGCTGGGGGTCGAGGAGGAGTGACGGCAGAGCACAGGAGGCTGAGCCTCCACCCCCTCCACCTGCAGACACTGTGGCTGGAGGGCGTGCGTGGGTTGTGAGGTCAGACTGT